GAAATTGAGAAAAGAGGGATAGAAGAGCTTGGAGAGAAGGGATAGTAGAGCTCCTGGCACTGAAATCAGTTAAGCTAGTGTCCTTCAAAGGGTAGACCTAAGTATGCAGGTCAGCAGAGTGTGATAGGAACTGTTTAAAGCCAAACACAAGTAGGTATTAAAATATCACTAATACTTTAAGGTCAAAGTCTAAAGCTTCATCCTGGCTCTGTTCTGGAGCAGCCTTTATCAGAGGTGCTGGAGCAGCCACAGTGATGCCAAGGACAGTGCCAGCTGTGCTTCAGCATCAGAGGGGCTTCTCCACAGCCAAATGCTGCAGTAGGTGGGGACACCCTGCCCAACAGGGCAGTGAACTGTAAACAGTACTGGGCTGCCCTAAGCAGCAGACATCTGACACTGCCTTTCCAAGCCTTCCACCCTACTGCCTGCACACTGGCAGCCAGCCTGGCCCAGCAGGAGCACTTCACACTCAACACCTACATGGTCAAGATCTCCTTGCTCTAGTCTGGCTGAGTTTGAGTTCATAGAATCACAGACTGGTTTGGGTTGGAAGAGACATTAAAGACCACCCAGTTCTAACCCCCCTGCCATGGGCAAAGACACCTCCCTCTACAGCAGGTTGCTCCAAACCCCATCCAACCTGGCCTTACACACACTGTTGCAGAGTAGTTCTAGTTTTTGGGGATAAGGGTTACATGAAAACCAGGATCAACACATCAGAAACACCAATGGCCAAATTTTTTTAGTTCTCTTCAAAACACCTATGGGAGACTAGCAAGAGCCACCTCTTGTTTCTCCCTCAAGCTCACCACAGGGAAACAGTCTCTAAATCCCAAGTTAATGCTGAAATGGGCCAAGCTGAGCTCACTGAGCTGCAGGGCATGGGCAGCACTGAGCTTCAACTCCTTTCCTGACAAGCTTGGATGCAGCAAGAGCAGCATGTGGGGTCTAACAGCTGAAGGGCTTCCATGGACTTGACTGAAACACAGGTGCCTCAAGAGGCAGCTGTTACCTTCCAAGGCTGCCCAGGTGCAGCAGGAAAAGTGCCATCTGCCCTACCTGTCAGAAGAGATTAATCTTGCATGGCCTGATGAATGCCAAGACATTTCCCAATCTCAGCACTGTGCCTTGCTCCACAGTCACCACCTCCAGCCCTGCCAGCTGAGTTTTTGCTGTCCAGGCAGGGTGGTGGCACACAGGACAACCAAACCTTGAGCCTGCTTTGACAGATATAGATTCACCCTCACCAACAGGCACAATGGCTCACACCAAACTGGTCTGTGACCTGGGCTGTGATGGGGGAGGCATCACTCTTAACAGGGTAGCTCTGTTCCAACTGCTGCTTTAGAATTAGCACAGAAGAGTGACATCACCTTCCAGATCTTCTTAAGTGCACTCATCTACCTCCTGCTTTGCCTCAGTGCAATTCCTGGATCACATCCCATAGGGAACAGTGACAGGAGCTACTTGAGGACCAGCTGAGGGGAGTCAGATGCTGTTGTTGTGCTCTGTCCAGCTTCCAACTCAACACTTCAAGGATCCTGCAGAAGGACCATGGCAGGCTGCTTCCCACTTTGGGAAGCTATACCTGCCAAGGGCTGCCATGCTGAAGGGGTGCAGCCCAAACCTCCCATGGGGGATGTTATGGCAAAGGAATTGCAAAAGGAACATGGTTTATTTTTAAGAGCCACTTTTCAAACTGCATTGGGAGGCTTACTCAGTGGTCTGAGGAGACAGGCTGGACTTGATTATATCTCTTTGGACCCTAGAAACCCCACAGAGCAATCTGCAGTGTTTAGCTTGCTAGAGAGATGCCCAAATTCTGGGCACAGGAACAAAACATATAATTAAGTCTGAGAAAGTAAGCCTCATCCTCTGATGTGTCCTGTCTCCATATCCTATAATCCCTTTATAGGATTTCTCTGGCTAGGAAGGGCAAGTAAAACCAGTATCATCAGAGTCAAGGTAGGAAAATATTTGTTCCCCAACTAATCTCTCCAGAGTCTGCTACAGAGGAGAATAAGTTCTCTAGAGGACATTCAAAGCACCTCATGTTTGCCTGCTCAATTTGATTTTTAAAACAGTCTCACATCCAAGCCAGATAAGTGAATATATTGATGCAAGTAACTAGACAGTTTGGCACAGATGGTCCCCAAGAAACAGAGCTAGGGGAACAGCAGGGAGTTATATTGAATGACTAGCCAGGCCCTTGGTGCAGCAAGACCCCAGTGAAGACAGAGGAGCCCAGCTGAGCTCACTCAGCTCCTTGCAGTTCTTCACCAGTGAAGAAGGCAGAGCCTCCCCACAAAGGGCTAAGATCCCTCATTATGGACCCAAGCCCATGCCTGCAACATCAGGGATGCCTGACCTTGCTCCCTCTAAGAGACGGGCAAGTAAAACCAGAATCATCAGAGTCAAGGTAGGAAAATATTTGTTACCCAACTAATCTCTCCAGAGTCTGCTACAGAGGAGAATAAGCTCATCTAGAGACATTCAAAGCACCTCATGTTTGCCTGCTCAATTTGATTTTTAAAACAGTCTCACATCCAAGCCAGATAAGTGAATATATTGATGCAAGTAACTAGACAGTTTGGCACAGATGGTCCCCAAGAAACAGAGCTAGGGGAACAGCAGGGAGTTATATTGAATGACTAGCCAGGCCCTTGGTGCAGCAAGACCCCAGTGAAGACAGAGGAGCCCAGCTGAGCTCACTCAGCTCCTTGCAGTTCTTCACCAGTGAAGAAGGCAGAGCCTCCCCACAAAGGGCCAAGATCCCTCATTATGGACCCAAGCCCATGCCTGCAACATCAGGGATGTCTGACCTTGCTCCCTCTAAGAGCTTGAGCACCCAGGGCTGGAGCTCAGCACAGCTCCATAGGAAAGCACTCCCAAACATCTGTCTGGCAGCATCTTGATATTCTGAGATAAAGCACTAGGGACTAACTCTGGGGGAACAGGAACCAAGCCCCCAGATGCCACTCTGCCATGAGAATGTGGTACCCCCTAATTGCCATGGCACAGATATTAGAAAGCAGCTCAAAAGCTTCCTTGGTGGTGAACTGGGGCAGCAGCATCCCTGGGCAGAAAACCTATCCCCAAGTGGTATTTGTTCCATTTTACAGGATGTGCAGTAGTGATCCTTCCCTCTCACCAGGGAACATCCTGGCTCACTGCACTAAGGTCTAGGGAAGAGATTTAGACCACAAGCTGTGCCAGTTGTCAAAAATCAGAGCACACCAGAGAGCATCATGTCCCTTGGATGACAGGCACCTGCAGAGCCATACCCCAGAGCCAAGAACCCCACTGCTTCTAGGTGAGTCACCATCAAGGAAAGCTGGACACAGCTACTGCCCACATCCATAATCAGAGGACCTCAGAGGATATTCAAGAGCAAACAGGCCTGGGTTGCATAAGAGCTCAGTAGGAACCCAAGAAAGTTGCAGCAATCCTATGTCAGAGCAGAAAGGGGTTTTTTTAGATGCCTATGCATAGTCTCATTAAATAGTGAGACCAATGCTCAGCTGAAACAGAAATCCCTCTTATCTTCCTGTGCAGAAAACCAGACTTCTAAAGGAGATCCCAGAGGGCTCAGAAACAGTTTAGCCTCCTGAATCATACTGCTCCTGCTAAGCAATTACCCTATTTCCCAGTCTGAAAGGTCAGGTTTACCCCACACATGCCCTTCTTCCCCTGCTGCCCCTCTCCCATCACCAGCACCACACCCTTGCACTGCCAGATACACACAAGATTCATCCTGGAAAAAGAGTGAGGGCTGCAGCTGGAAGCCCAGAGAGCTCATGGCAGGTTTCAAAGCAAGCCTGACCAGAGGGCAGGAGCTGCAGCACCTCAAACATGCAGCAGGGAGGGCTCCCAGCTTCTGCTGCCCTCTTAACAGGAGTGAGAGTTATTGCTTCATGCAGAGAAAAGATGCTGATTAGCTGTTGTCTACAGCACCCCACCTCTCAGAAGGAAAAAATACCATCTGGCATGGCACCCCTGGAGGGCTGCCAACCTTTGCAGTAAAATATGAAGGCAAGAGAAGGTCAAGAAAGAGGAAAGGAAGTAAAAGAGGCAGGAAGATTAATCCCTGCCAGGTGGTGTCAGTCCAGACACCAGAGCACAAAACTGGATAGATGAGCAAGGAGAGAAGAGTTTAAGTAGGAGAAAGAGCAAGAAGCAGAAGGGAAACAATTCTCTGCAGTGAAATCATGGATGAACTGAAGAGATCACATCTGTGCTGCAGACCAGCCCCAGAGCAGGATCCACTTCACTTAAACCTCTTGATGGGTGCTTGCCCAAGCAGAATTTGCATCACAGGGCTTTAACTGTCTGAAGACAGTCAAGGAGCAGGGACTCCCAAGACTGACAGCAGCCAAAAGCAGCTTAAAGGGAGCCCAGGAGAGCAGGCAAGGCTGGAGGAGCCAAGGATGGGAGAACAGCTTAGCAGGTAGCACTGAGTTGTAAGACCACCTCAGATGGGGGTGCATCCTTTTCTTCTACCAGCAGTTTAAAGGGTGGGTAAATAGAGCATCACTTGCCCTGGCAAGGTTTCAGCCAGCTGGACACCAAGGCAGCCTCTCATGCTGAACATCCCCCTGCACTGCCCATGGGGAGGATTTCAGCAGCAGGGTGGCATGGACCCTCCAGCTGTCTGAGGATGTTCCCAAGAGTTACCTGGGAGAGGTTCTGCAATTGCAGACACCAGCATTTCACAGGTGCAGAGCCAGACTGCTGCAACAGCAGCACCACTGCAGCTCCCTCTGCCAGGGAAAGCCCCATCCCTCCCACCACAGCCACCCCAATTTCAAGCATCCTCCATGACACCATTCACTGCTTGCTTCCTGTACCTCCTGGAAGGGAACAGGTTGTTCAACAGCTTTATTAGCAACAACAACACATACATATAGCTGGGTACCAAACAAATTGGGGAGCTTGGTGTCAAGGCAAGTGTGCCCCTGCACATGAAACTGCCTGTCTCTTAGCCTGGGGATCAGTGGTACCTTCTGACTCCAGGTGGTCCAGCCCATAGGTCACAGCTGTACTGATCCTCCTCACAGAGGGAAGAGCTGTCCTCCTGCCAGAAGATGCCATTGATGCTGGAGTTCCCAGGACCACCGTTCTGCTGGATGGCTCCTCCATCTGTCCAGACTGAGTAGCAGACAACTCACCAGGAGCTGGAACAGCCTTCTCACTGGTGCCCAGGACCACATCTGTGAGATCTACAAAGGACAGGGAACAGTTTGACACAACAACATTGAACTCCACCATTTAAGAACAAACTCCTTAAAAACTTCATTTGGTGGAAGGAGTTATTAAACTCCTTCCTCTTTTGAGAAGTCAGAGTGACTCTGCTGTAATGAAAGCTTCTCCTCCAGGAAGACAAGCACAGAAGGTCCCCCTTAATGAGAACTCAGCTAGGTTTTACTTCCACTGCTTTGAAGACAGCTAATCATCACCCCACAGCAAGATCTGGGGCACTGGTTGAGGTCTGAACCAAGTAGCAGATCTGATTAATTATACTCATTTTTATCTTTGCAATAAGCTATCATTAAATCCCAGAAGCAAATTAATCAGTGGAAACTACCAAAACAGCTTTCTCTACAGAGGGACCTTAATTTAGAAGACAATGTAAACAGGTTTCTTCTTTTGATACCCTGCAATACAAGAATTACCAGAAGGGCTGCCCAGCAGCAGTTTTGTTACAGTTGTACCTACCACTACAGAAATACACGAGCCCAAAGTCAGCTTTGTGCAAGGGAACCCTTGCTACATTCCTGTCAAGAAGACAGGCTCCCACATGTACCTGCCCAGGTGACATCAAGCCAGTAGGCAGCAGCCAGATGAAATGCCTGCTGAAAGCTCTTCTGTAGGAGCTACATCAACCTGGGAAGAACTTGCTACTCCCCAATGGAAGTGAGCAGCAAAGCAGGCTTCCACACCCAGGGGGGCTTGCCAGACTCCCACAGGAGGGATCCTAACCCCCTACCACTGCTCCATGTTACCCTGATGAAGTGTTTTCATCCTTTGGACTGAGCAGCAGCAACCTGCAGCTGCCTTTGGCTCCAGAAGAGCTCTCCCACCAGAAATAAAAACTGGCTTAAAAGTCTAAGGCTAAGAATCAACTTGCCAGCAAGGGTGGATGTGGGGTCTTGCTTTGTGACAAAAAACAAGCTGGCATATTGCAGTTTGGTGGATCTGGTGGCCCAGGGCTAGAGGCAGCCTGCAGAAGGCTAGGACAAAAGCCACTTAGAATATGACCACTGTTGTTGAGACCTCAGTCTCTCAACAGTCAGTCCCAGCACTGATACTCGTTTCAGATGTACCATCATGTGTGGAAACAAACCTGGAGTCCTTGAAGCAAAACCCTACCTTCTACATCTGGAGAGTTTGCCATAGAGGATGTATCAGTTGACACCAACATCTGGGTGGCACTGGGAGCAGTTGGCATTTGGGTGTCCTCCCCACTGTTCTCTTGCAGGAAGCTGGCAGCTCCTGTTTCCTGGGTAGCATCAGGTGCCAGTGTCACAAGTGAAAGAGCATCAGCCTCCTGGGCAACTGTTGTCACCTCTGGAGTAACACCTACAGCAAGAACATGTGTCAGTACCAGCATGGGGCATCTGAGAGCAACACAGCAGAGGTCTGAAGGAACACAACTCCATGCACCAGCATTTCCAGAGCACAGCACAAGCAGCAGGTCCACCCAATTATCATCAGGGCAGTGCAGCACACAGATGTGAGAAGGTGCATAACAGCAGTAAAAGCAGCCCTTGTTTTCTTTATGGACCCTTTGGAGCACTGAGGAGCCACTGAGGAACACCACAAGAGGAGCACAGCACTGCAGGCCCATGGTGTGAAATACAGAACCACAGAATATTAGGGGGTTGGAAGGGAGTTCCAAAGATCATTGAGTCCCCTCTGCCAGAGCAAGGCCGAAAACAAACAGGGCAGATCACTCAGAAAGGCATCCAGACAGGTCTTCAAAGTCTCCAGAGAAGGAGATTCCACAGCCTCTCTGGGCAGCCTGTCCCAGGGCTCTGTCACCCTCACAGGAAAGAAGTTCTGCCTCATGTTGAAGTGGAACTTCCTGGGCTTGAGTTTGAATCCATTGCCCCTCATCCCATCACAGGGCACAAGTGACAAGAGCTTGTCCTGCCTTCTTGATGCCCTCCTGTATTTATAGACATTAATTAGATCCCCCCCTCAGTCTCCTCTCTAGACTGAAAAGCCCCAGGTCTTTCAGCCTTTCCTCATAAGGCAGGTGTTCCAGTCCCTTCATCATCCTCATAACCTCTGTTGGACTCTCTCCAGTAGATCACTGTCCCTCTTGAACTGGGGAGTCCAGAACTGGACACAACACTCCTAGTGAGGTCTCACCAGGGCTGAGTAGAGGGCGAGGAAAACCTCCCTCAGTCTGCTGGAGACACTGTTAATGCACCCCAAGATTCCATTGGCCTTTTTGGCCACAAGGGCACATTGTTGTCCCACAGAGGACTTGGTGTCTACCAAGACTCCAAGGTCCTTCTCCAAGGAGCTGCTCTCTAGCAGATCACCTCCTACCCTCCACTGGTGCATTTTGTTGTCCCTTCCCTGGTGCAGGACTCTGCATTGGAAGCACATGAAGCTGCCAGAATGGTGCTTTTAGTGACCAGCTCCCACAGCTCCAAGACCTCAGCTTTGCAGAAGGGTTTATTTTTGTTGCACAAGACTTATTGACAGTGTTGTTTCCCCAACAGCTGGAAAACAGAGAGGGAACCTGCTGACAAGTCAAGTGCTTATAAATTAATCTAGAAATTAATCAGTCTGGTTTCAGCACCACCATGCAATTAGCTTTCCTTCTTTGACAGCAAAGGGTAGATCTTTTGATTACAGAGAGGAGATGTTGTCCTTTTGCCCCTGCAACTTAAGGGGGAAGATGAAAGATGTCCAGCAATTAAAACAAAGTCCTGAACTCCAGCTCCCATTCCTCATCAGCTCAGGATCACATCATTGCTCAACACCTAATCAGACTTTTTTTAACACTCCTCCTGTATTTTAAACACTGAGTGGAAGCATTGTCAGTGGGCTGAAGGTGCCATCCCTGCAGGTGACACCAGCAGCCTGTGACAGGCTGTCTAGGAGATTTCTGCCTGCTGGGAACAGAGCTGGAACAAACACTGAAGAGTCAGAGCCTGAAAACCTCTGTGCTTCAGGGTGGGGAGACAATACTAGGAGCCTTTCTTACAAAGGACAACACAGTTCTGGGCAGATCTTTTGATCAGAGCATCCTTGTAGTGTCATGGAAGACAGTGACCCACAGGCTGCTGGTACAGCTCACAGGTTCCTGGATTTAAGCAGCATTTCCAGTCATCCATTATCTCTGTAACTTCCGCACTGTCTGCAGTATCCATAGCTAGCAGAGGAGAGCCAAGTGATCCCAGATGCCCGTTCATACAGCCCCCAGGAAATGTTCCCCCTCCACTTTGCAGGGATTCAGAGTGGACTGGTACCAAAGGCACATCTGGGGTAGCAGGTCAGAGCCTGGGCTCCCTCCCTAGTCACAGGAGAAGCATTTCAGAGGGGTGTGCAAAGCAGGTCTGCACCTCCAGTGAGGAGAGATGCCTTCAACCAGACTACAACTTGTCCCCCTCAACTGCTACACAAGCACCAGAACTGAATCCCCTGCTTTGGTACCACACCACACAAGCAGAGCTTCACTAAGTTAACCAAGTAAGCTTTTTTAACTAGCACCAACAAGACACCAACAAGACTCCAATTCTCTAGAGACCTCCACACTCAAGTACACCCTTCCACCAGCCTCAGCTGTCCTGTTTGCTATTACAGCCACCCTCTGCCAGCTCGTGAGGAGCTGAAGTAGCAGCTCCACACAACATTCAGGACAGGGACCCACCCAACAGACTGTGCCTGCCTGTCCACAGGGACATGGAGTATAGGAACAGCCAAGACTAGGTAGTGCTTCATGGATGTGGGTTCTGTTTAGGCTGTTACACCTACACAAAAGGTCCATAGCCTTTCTGTGGGGTGTTGGGAGGATGAAGGGCTGTCCCACCTCTATTGCAGGTATCAAGACAACATCTTTCTCCACTCTCTCTCTGAAATGAAGCACAGATTTCCCAGACCATCCCTCCCAAGTCTACACTTAGGTGTCTGTAACAGGCAAGTTTTACCTTCCCATGAGCTTTCCAGAGTAGGAAAGAGATCAGACTGTGTATCCATCATCACAGGCTGTGATGGCAGGATGCGCTTCCCCTCCTCTGTTATGGCCACACTTATGTTTTCCAGGGTATTGAGATCAGCCATGTCCACATCCGTCAGGTTCACAGTGTGGAAAGTGTCACCACTGCTGGTGGAAGGTGCTGGCACCTCCTCCCCTCGCCCCAGTGCTGTGCTGTTGGTCTCCTCAGAAAGCCCAGGAGTTGGTGGAGGGGATGCTGGGGGTGGCAGCACTCTTGTTGCATCCTCTTCCTCCCCAGCACCTCCCTGTGGTGACTGGGAGGGCTCTGTTGCCCCCAGGTCCTCCATGACCTCCTCTCGAGATGCAATTTGACTGATACCCCCCAGTTTTGTGTCATCCCAGTCAGGTGGCACAGTGTCCTCAGGGTGGGTGGTGACAGTGCCAGCCAGGGTGGGCAGCTTCCCTTGCCTGGCACCCAGCCCTGCCTCCAGGTGCAGAGAGGCCTCTGTTGCTGGGGGGGGATGCTGGGCAGCCAGGGACCTCAGAGGGCTCCCCGTGGGGACTCCTGGCGTTCCCACCTTGGAGATGCTGTGAGCCTGGGGAGCTGGGAAGACAGGGTGGTCACTTGTCATTTCCCAGGTGGGAGAGCTGGGGTGCAGTGTGGGCTGAGGCTCAGCTGAGGGGTGCAAGCTGCTCTCTGCCACCTCCTCCTCCCCAGTTGTCCCAGGAAGGGGGGTTTCCAAGAGACCAGCAGAGGTGTGCTCCACTTCAACACCACCCTCTGTGGTGGTCCCACCAACAGGGCCACCAGCAGCCTCCTCCTGGGCAGCAGGGCTCAGTGTGGTCACAGCTGTGGTCAGCATGGCCTTGAATGCACTGTCCTCATCCAGCTCTGATGCTGTAGGACTAAGATCCTCTTCATCTACAGCAGCCACCACTGCAGGAAAGGTGTGAGCATTCAGGACCTGGCTGCCTGGAAGGACATGGCTTGGTCTTGCAGGCTGTGCTTCTCCTTCTGCAGTGAAAGCTTCAGTGAAAGGCATCCCAGATGGCTTTGCTGACACTCCACAGGGCTCTTCAGAGACAGGCTGTTCAGAAGAACCCAGATTATCTTTCAAGTTCTGCATGCTTGTCCTTTCATCTTCTACACCATTCACTGCCCAGGGGCCATGCTGAACCTTTGTCATGTCCCTCTCCTCCAGTTGCTGAGATGCACAGCATGGTGGACTGAAGGACAAGAGCAGGATGCTGCAGGTGACCACACAGATGTTAAATCCCATTGATATACTCATAGCTGAAGAGAGATGTGCCCAGAAGTCTGCAAGGCTGACAGGTACAGAGTGCAAGACCTAGGAAAGGAAAAAAGGAACAAAGATCACTCATAGCCATAACCACCTGTTGATCCAGGGCCTTAAATAATTGGGTGAGAAAGTCTAATCTATGGCCAGCTCTGAGCAGAGCCCTCCCACACAACCCAAGCAATAGATCCTCATCTCATTTTACAGTCCATCCCTAACCTACATGAGGTGACATCCCATGACTAGACAAACCCAAATCTTGAGCTGAAGCCCAAGCCAAACCTTGCCAAGTTCTTACCCTGATGCTCAAGTGCTACAGTCTACCCAGCAGGCATCAGGCTTGCAAGGATGTGATGAGGATCAACTGTTTGTCCTTCATCAAGTCCAGGACTGAGGCATTATCAGGTTGGTCAGGGCCAGACTGAAGTCTGTTATGACAAGCCCTGTTCCCAACCATCTAACCCTGTGATTAGATGGAGGAGGAATCCAAGGAACATTCACAGAAAGTGAGGTTGATCTATCAGGCACAACCCAAGATCCTGAACAGGAGGCTCTAGGGCTTTAGCATCACACCCTGCACCAGCTCCTTGGCCCCATGGAGAAAGGCTACAGCCCAGACAGCAGCACTACTGCAGCAGCATCTGTGCTGCACTGCACCACCCAGGCACCTCCAGAAGGCTTCACATGTATAACCATTATGTGCTTTGAGTTTCCAGGAGTGCTGAACCAGTTGCCCAGCAGTGATCCAGCCTAGTGACAGCCTGCTCTTGGCAGGCTCTGCTGCCTCCAGTAACACAGCTCAGGCTCCTGGATGCATCATAGAATCATTTTGGTTGGAAAAGACATTTCAGATCATCAAGTCCAGCTGTTAACCCAGCTCTGTCCAGGATACCACTAAACCATGTCCCTCAGCACCACACCTATATGTATTTTAAATACCCCCAGGGATGGCAACTCCAGCTCTTAGCTGCACATTCTGTTCCAATGCTTGACAACCCATTCTGTGAAGAAATCTTTCCTAATATCCAATCTAGAAGAGACTGAGCCCCTCAGAGCAGCAGCATCCTGCTCCCAGGCACGTGCCTCTAAGTCCTAGGCTTTCAGCACCATCACTCAACAGCAAAAGACCATTCCATGCAAGGCCCACTTATCCACTTGTTATGCAGCACAGGTGGTCACACAAGTCTCATGCAGTCAAACAGCCCTGGATCACACAGCCAGTGTGGTGAGGTTCTCCTCCCAGCTTCAGGGGGCAGTTTGCCAGTGGCACAATCCAGCCCTACCACAAGAAGACTCCAACTATCAACAGCTTCAGCTGCTCAATTCACAAGTGACCTTACTAATATCCATTATTCCCCTGCACCTCCAAGGTAAGAAAGAAGGTTGGGGTTGTCAGAACTACTTATTGGTCTTCATAGTAAGAGGCAAAGGTTACCCTTTGCAGTCTTGCATCAGGATGAGTCCTTCAGCTGGCTAGACTTTTCCCCACCCAAACTGAATGTAGGTAAAGATAACTTGCATTTGTACACACAATGCAGCAGCAAGGCACCCAGCAGTGCTTGGTGACACCAGGGTGTACCACTGCTCCATGTCTTCTCATGCACCCACGAGATGCTGTGCAAGAGGTAACCTCTGTGGCAGGCAGAGGGGTCTCCATACCACCACATTTGTGGTAGTCCATCCAACTCAAAGGTCCCATGTCCTGCTGCTCATATTTGTCTCCTTTTGCAAAGTGTTGCTGTATGTGTTCAGTCAGCTAAACACAACCAAGACAGCAGAAAGTTTGTATCCACCTGGTCTGGTCCTACACAGGTAGGTCTATTTCCATTGTAAAACATCCTGCACACACAGGACAGAGACCAGCTGAAGACTCTTAGGATCTGCAGGGCTGTGTGTAGCACAGAAGACAACCCCAGCATTACCAGCCTAGAGGGACACAGGTCAGAGGTTACTGCTGGCTCACTTAGCTGGTTGAGCCTTCAGAGCACACTGGGTCACTTTTTCCACCCTCCCTGCAGCCCTGGTCCTCAGCAGTCAGAGCTGGTGGAGCAATTCACTGTCACAGGCCACACACACACCCCCCAGGTGCTCAGGGACAAACCAAAGCCACCAAGCAGCTCTTCACCAGCAACAGCTCAACTACCTTCCACTTTTTTTTAGCATCTCCTTCCTCTGGAGAATGGGTGGCCTCTCATCTATCTCCTCTGCCCTCCTTGCCAAAAATCAAATTGAAAACTGACAGTATTCACCTATTCTTCCAGTCTCATCCTTTAGATTTTGTAATTAAAAAGCACTAAGAGTATATTATGCAAGTTAAATTGCTGGTGCCTAATGACATGCATCTGCCTTGGATGCTGATGAACGTAAGTTACACTCACCTCACACACCTTTAGCAAGTGCCAGAGAAGATCAGGCATCTTGAAACATCAAGGTTATTGTTTTTGTGGTTTGTTTTTTTAATGAAGAACACTTTGAATTGAAATACAGTTTCTCTACAAGTCAGCAGTCTCTTTAGGCAGAGGAAGTAGTTAAACCTGAACAACTGCACTTGAAAGCAAGTCATAGCATCTCCTGCAGCCCTATACATTATGCATAGACATATATACACATTTGTATGTTTCTAGCTCTAGGTTCTCCAATAGCCTAAGACACTCAGAGGGTGGTGAGCAGAAGTCCCAAGATACTAGTCTGTCTTCCCAAAAGCCTACTCCATCTTTACCAGGATCAGGAGTGTCAGGGATCATCCTTCCCTCTTCATCACCAGAAGGCTGGCTTTGAGATCCATTTAAAATGCAATAAAACCTCACCCCATTAAGAGCCTTTTCCTCCTTCTGGCTAGTGGATAACATGAGCAGTCAGCACCAGCTTGATACAAGAGCTCCTGGGGTACTTCAGGCAGCCTTGTCCTCCTTCCCCCAGTCCAAAAAGCACCACTGGCCTTAGTCCTACATGTGACAATAATGTTGGAGAGTTATTTGCTCAGAAAATCCACAACAACTAGATCTAAGCTAACCTAGACCTCCACATTCAATAAAAGCTGGAGATAGTGGCATGGAGCTTGCTGCAGGATAATGACACAGGTTCACACTTCAAAGAAGATTAGTCAGAGCTTAAGATCTACTTAGCTTTAGGAAGAGGCAGGATTAGTTAGTGTATGAACAGCAGTGACCTAGCTATCATCTTAAGCAGAGTTTGACACCTTGCTGTAGCACTTCCACTTAATGCAGAAGAGATCTAGGCATGTAGCTGCCTGCAGAGGAGTTTGTTACTCAAGCTGCACTGAGCTATACATTTATTCTCCCATCTGGTTATTTTTATAGTAGGCTCCACAGCTTTGGCCAAGGAACAAGCTGGATCATGCTGCTCTGGACAAGCACTTGCTCTGTACTAAGCTTAAGCTTTTTCTCTTACTAGCTTGAAGCTCTAGAGTAACTTGGTATTTCATGCTGCAAGAACTCCTTGCCCCCAGATTTCACCTGGCATTCTCTGAGCCAAAGCCCTGGAGCAGAGCTGCCAAGCACTGGCCAGGCTCTCAGTGGAAAATTAATCCTTGCTTCAAATAGGAAACACACACAGAGACAACACCAGCTATTTTTCCCTGCACTTAATAACAACAAATCCCAAGAGATGCAGTTCCTGTAGCCACAAAGGCAACAACTGCAGCCAAGAAACTTCATCTTTAGCACTGGAAAAATACAAAAGTTTTCTTTTAGCACCTGGTAAGAAACACAGAGGATGTCTAGGCTAAAAATAGATACCAAAACTGGGCATCTTCAGGAGCTGCCCATCAGAATAATCATCATCTACAACTGCAGGTAAAGACAAATTGGTCTCCAGCTGAAGCAGTCTCACAGGCTCAGCTGGATCCTTCTGAACCAGGCTGCTTCCTTGCTCCACACAATTTGCACCAGCAACAGCTATTAAACCATTAAGCCCCTCTGAATCTGAGAGCCATTTGAAGAGCCAGCTCAGGAAGTCTGACAAAAGCCAGCTCAGAAGGAAGTGTTATGATCACTCCAACAGGGCAGGCTTGAAGGAGACAAGCACAGAGCAGACCAGATTCCTCTTGCTGGGCAGATGCTCCTTACATGGACCAGGAGGCTGTGGACACATGCTGCAAAGGATGGAACACTCCCCTCTGTCCCACTTGTAGAGCATCCCACCTCAGATGGCTTTTTAGAGTTGCACCCAGCCAGTTGACTTACAGGAAGCTCTAAAGAAAAACCATTTGCTGTTATTTTCTGCTTCTGGCTGTTTTTCCTGAATTGTTGTGAGTTAAAAGCTTGATGCTTTTTTCTTCTTTCATCTAACAATCCCTCTCCCACAAAGAGAGGAAGGACACTTGTACTCCAAAGGTGAAATGACTATGCATGGTACACAGCAGAGAGCACAGGAGATGAACAGGTCAGCTTCAGACAAATCACTGTCTAGCCTTTGTAGACCAGAGCTTCTCACACCTCCAAGTACAAGCTTGATTATGCCAGCCTTGACAGGCTGAACAGTCCTGTATGTGCTCAGCTCTGCAATTCATCCCAATTGATAAGGGAAATGGACAAGAACACTGCAAATCTTTTAATGAGAAGATTTAGCCACAACATAGAAGTCAAGCAACTGTCAGCACTCAGATGCTGCATTACCAGAGTGTTAGTGTGTTCTACCCAAGCCCTATTACTGGTGCTCAATACAAAAGCCAGCAGATAATACACTGCAGAGCTCCAACTCCTACACCCAAGCCTTCATTTCATCCTGCACTATATCCTTGCCCAGTTCAATCAACTGAATTGTAGACCACACACTTCAGACATCAACCAGTAAAGCATCCCCAGCAGCTCCCAGTGAGATCCCAACAGTGACACAACTCTGTGCCAGCCACCAACACAGCCCGAGCTGGACAAGCAAAACTACAGACACAACCACACAGGGGGGCACATCTTCCTCCTACCTTTCAGGGCAGATCCTTACAAGAAAACAAATGAGATATTAATATTCCATAA